CTCGATCGGAAGGGGAACAAGGCGAGAAGTTTTGCTTCTCAATCACAAGTGCTGATATTTAGTTGGAGCTCAAAGTTTTGGAGCCTGGAGTTATGTTGTGATTTCTATTTTGTATATGGCTGCATGTAGTTTAACTGGCTACAATTTGAGTAGCGGTTCACGTGGTGGGAACAAGTTGGGCATGTCATAGATATGATCTTAGCTGTAAACCCCAGTCTTTGACCCTCAGGGGAAAACGGTTATATCCTAGGACTTAAAAAATAGAAAACAAAAAAACAATATCAAAGAAAATTACAGAAAAGATGACCCAATTTACAAGAGATATCTACTTTTATGTCTTAGATAAACCGACATTCTTCCTATTATTCTAGTATACTGTGGTTCGTACAACTACATGATCGCTTAACTGATTATATAATATACCCTTGTACCTGAAGTATTTCTGCTAACAAGTATCTAACACATTGATCATCCAACTCAGACGCCATAGTTGCAACAGTTTCTATTGCTACAATTTTCGATTTTTTGGGTAGAAGGTTCCGGGGAAAAGTTGGTTAATTCCATGGGTAAATACTGAGCTGAATGGCTATTCATCACGGGCAATATGTCAATAATCTTTCGAGTAACAAAAGAGGATAGGAGCACTGTACAAGTTGTGGTCTGAGCCAGAGAGGAGCCCAATGTGCTAGATAGTTTAAGGCTCAAGTAGTACAATAAACATACCTCTCTCTTTCACTTACACGCTCATAAGCGCATTGAGACGCACGGAATAGCGTAGCAATTTAATCTGACTTGCTGGTGGAATGTAAATCTGGTATTTTGTGGATTGATGACGTGAGAATTTTGTAGGTAGATTGATAAAAGGCGACTGGAGCTGAAGGAGGAAAGGTATAAGTCTTGTACTAAGTTTATGTATCAATTCTACTTAATTCTATCATTCATCATATTGTATTCCATTCCTTTGCGGGAATCAACAAACACTTCTACCTGTTGACTTGAGGATAAGCCAAACTTCCATATTTATGATAACTATCCTATATAAATCGAGTCGATAACTTTTCGATACAGACAATATCGGCGATAGAAGGGGTCGAAAATTAAGAATAGGTATTATGATACCGGACGGAGGATGTGATGGCGTGAGGTATATTCACCAAATGGGATATCCGTCCGCCAAATATTAACTACAGAGATAAATTATGAGATCGTCTCCCAGATGGCTCTTGGAAAGTAGTAATCCTGTGCTTGATGAAAGTATCTTTGCATAAATCCATAGGACAAGCTTTCGGGGATAATTGGGATTTAAGATATCGAAAGTGGTCCCATACTATTTCCCAGATTAACTATCGGAATAGATTAACGATTTAATTAGAATACCCTCATTCGATATATGGTTCAAGGACGAGTCGGAGATTGCACAAATGGATTGTTCTGATTATAAGAAGCGGAAGAAATGGCTTAGCCAACTCTTCAGCTTCGCAATGTGCATTATTCTCTTCTTTTGATCATTAACATCTTTAGTTTCTTGCGGCGATAATTATCATTTCTTGATCTACAAATCCTCACTTCCAAACCTCCATTATGAGCCTCGATGATCATTTGTACGCCTCAAAGATGGCAGATGCTATGCCTTTTCGATCTCGTAGTAACAGAGGATCTGTTGCAATCATCGTCAAGAAGCAAACTAGTATCGCCACATATCGACCAACACAGAATATCGAGTGGCAGGCGAGGTGGCAAAGCCAGCAGTCTAGTGAGGTAAGGCTGTTTCAAAAATTACTGACACACGGGAAAGGTCGGTCTCGTCCCTATTAGCAGAGAATGAGGCATGTATCCAAATAATAGGGGGTCTATGGGATATTTTGAAAGTCAAACATAATGTAGCCTTCGACCGGGTCGTTGATGTGGTAGCAATTGGCAAATTGAAGAGCCGCCGGAGCAGTGGGGATGGTAGGCTGGCAGATGGATCCACGAAGTCCGTGCCTGGGCCAGAATTCCAAAAGAAGAGGGCTCATTGGAGTGGTGAAGATGTCTAAGTCGAACCAGCCGAGATTAGAGATGTGTTATCAGTGTTTCTAGAAATTATAGACGTGTTCAACTCTGCTCGTCAGATTAGACTGTAAAAGTAAACAGTCTAGTCTACATCTTGTGAACAGACTTCTCAGCACACGAAGCATAGCGGCCGGGTGCAAATTGCCAACCTGAACCGGGGAACAATGTAGAATAGAATAGAATTTAATTTATGTCCCTACTGAGTCTGTGACAATGAAGGACTGCTAAAACTATATAAATAGATCTAGATTTTAATATGAAAGTTGTTTGTTAATATAATCAATGCTTACCAATAGAAATTGAGGGTCATGCCCTGAACGGGGAACAATGTATGATTGTTTGTTTTTTTTATTGTACTACTTGAGTCTATGACTATCTAGCACATTGGGCTCCTCTCTGACCCAGGCCACACCTTGTACAGCGCTCCTATCCTCTTTTGTTACTTGAAAGATCTTTGATATATTCCCCTTGATGAATAGCCATTCAGCTCAGTATTTACCCGTGGAATTCAGCCACCTTTTCCACGGAACCTTCTACCCAAAAAAATAAAAATGGTAGCAATGGAAACTGCGTGCGCGGGAAAAGTCTCAAAAAACCTGCAGTCCCAGCCAGGCGAGGCCTAGACACCGGGACAACATGAGGTGCGCATAATCATCTATATCTCTCTTCTTTGTAACATTCGAGGCCGACTTGATCCAATCCGCCATCGCCGTATCGGGTGCTGGGCACGCTCCGGAAACTCATCGGATGGCTTTTCCTCCGTGATCAAGGGTTGGTGATGAGTAGGGCTTCGACTCTAGCAGCTGATCTGATGGTGGTTAGCTTCATGATAATGGTGATAGGGGAATGTGTTGAGAGATGAAGACGATACAGACCGCGAAAGCGATTGGGAATCCTCTTCGAAGTGAGGACTTTGTTACTCAATCTCGGCTCTGCAGACTCTACAGTGAGAGCTGGAGGTTCGTAGGGGAAACCGCTGACAGGTGTTGAGAATAGTCCCCCTAGAGAACAATGTAGAATGAGCCGGAAAACAAAAACTCTCTTGCCTCATCGCAGGAGAGTAGATACACTACGCAGGTGATACGTGAGATCTTGCTAGTCGAATACTGGCGGCACTCCCGCATGAGTGAACGGCAACGAAATTATGACGAACAATCAGCGACCATGTGACGAAAGCAAGCTGGTTGTAGTGTACTTTTAGAAAGATTGAACTAGATGAAGAGAGAAGTAACACAACTACGGGTAATGGCTATTTGTACATCCTTCCGGCTCGTCCAGTACGTACTCCGTTGGTGAGCGTGACATGTTGCTCTGCTATAGTCCGTCGTTATCTTAATTTGCCATATAGCTTGACGCTCTCATTTGGCAATTCTTCTTTGCTATCTCACATTCCTTCCCAGCTCCAATGTAATGTGGCCGAGTGAAACTTAGTCGCTTGATACAAGATAACAAGGGAGACTCTAACTACTACGCCCCCAAACTCCGCATAGGTTTTCATCTTAGCTAAGCTACGGTCAAACCGTAACAGACCAATTCTGAGACATTCAAGGTCGTAGAAGTTACAAAAGGTTTGACGAAGCTCAACTGTGCCGCGACCAATTGGATATATTCCCCATTGATACTTTGTAAGGCAGAGTAGATCGAAGCCTGTACCCAAGGTAAATGCCACCAAAGCCACGAGAACTATATCTAAAAAAATCTGCGGCAAATCAAGCTTGCAGTCGACTTCCAAGTACTAAGCAATCTTTCGAGCCGAGTTGTCGTCCCGTCCTAGACTATCGAAACAAAAACATGGTGTGAGACTACTAGAGCAACCAAGGAAAAGTAATTCGCCCTTCAAACCGTAAATATTCACAGATATGGACAAGCCAGGCCGATTGGCTGTGCTAGTAAAAGCTGGGATTGCGATGCACATGGGTCACATCACTGGAAGCGAAGAGCCTCCTAGTAATTCCATGATGAGTAGGCGGATAATAAAGTACTGTAGGGAAAGTGTTTGTAGATTACAATATCTAATGTATGATGATATCCAGTGGCAATGCAACTATTTCATTGCGCGAATCTTAAATAAAAATTGACGCGTATTCAGCGCACAAATCCAAAGCTTGCGGAAGTCGAGGTAACCGAGATTTTATCGATATTAAGCCAGCTGAAGAATTAAGGTGCTATCTTGTGTGATTGAATCTCTCATCAAGAAGGCTCACGTGAAAGATCTGATCTCAGTGTCCTTACAAGAATGCTTGGCTTGCCCGTACATTTTGATGCTATCGGAAAATTCTATCACCTAACGAATTCTCGATATTATACAAACTCGCATCAAAGCGATACACGAAAGTAAAATAGAGTCATGAGCTGGTTCTCATATTTTGCGTTACTCTAATTCGAGTCATGTTTCATATATTTTTATGATATTTATTTGAATGAATGCGGAACGAGATACATTATAGACGCCAGATCCTCGTCAAGCCTCTACCTAGTAATATCGATTGCGATGTTGGTATGGGTGTACTGCGTTGTACTAGTTCCCGAGTACTTTTGCCCCTGCGGTCTACTAAGGATCCACATGATTTCGCTTTTCAACTGCGAGATTTTTGTGGTCAAGGAGTCGTCCTTTGATCGACTTTCTTGCTTAAAAAGTGGTATTTTTGAGCTAAATTCTCTCAGCAGGTACATTCTAGCCCGCAGTCTTGGTGCTAGAAGCACCTGTGGTACGTCGCGTAGTCTCTATGTGCGGTGCGGGCCGTAAGGAGCGATGCAAGATTTTTCCGAGCTAGAATCCCTAATTTTCCGGGAATCATTTCTTACATGGGTGTTCATAATCTCTGATAACAACCTAGGGCGTGCTCCTTCCGAGGTCGAGTTAATTTAGTCTCGTAGCGCTAATTCATTAGGCCAGTAAATTTAAATGTTGGCGCCTCATTCCGGGTAGTTGTCTGGCGTCAAACATATTAAATTAGTGCATCAGCGTGCTCATTTCTTTTGATCCCTACATGATCCAAGGCTCGATGCACACTGACGGTATCTACTACCGCTGTCACAGTTTGCACCCTACTAATCCGGTTTTCTCGCAACGCCCGAAAATCTGCAATACTGGTAGATTTGAACTCGACTAGGCATCCGCTGTGGAGTCGTAGAGCCGCTTCTTCACCGTCCATATATATCACAATATCTGTGACGTGTTGGGCCATACAATGCACCGTGGATAATTTTACTCCCTACATCGCCCTAATGATTTCTGAACTCTGTCTGAGAGGAGTCTCTCCTTCAATTTCCGAATTTAGTGCACGATAGATGCAGCAAGCACCCACTTATTTTCCTTCCATGTTCATTACGCCATACAAGTAGACGAGAGGATCTACTCAGTTGTATCTCTGGCTGTGCTTTCATTCTCGATATTCGATTGGGCTTCTTTTCAGGCCGACAGCAGTAGTAACTTCTTTCGAAAAACAGTGAAAAGATGGAGGGAGGGATCATTAAGCGTTTTTTAGAGAGCGTGCCAATTTTGGATATCTGCGCTTGGCCTGATGGGGTAATAGAAGAACACAGACGCTCACCTAGGGTCTTTGAATTGAAGAAAGTTGTAAATCTTATTTTATTTGTTTATATAATTTAACGTGTATTCAACTATCTTGCTATGACACATGGTTTTATCTCCATAAAAATTATATTCTTCCACGAAAGGGGGACGCTGGATTCTGGAGTAGTTGAAGCGAGAAAAAGCTCTTGAGACGATACTTCAAATCACTGGGGTGGCGCGTCGGAAGTCAGGACAGATGTCACGAATTCTTGTGTTTGCAGATAGTCGGTGCTCTAGGGCAGCTATGTTTTCCGGTGACACGACTTCAAGCCTTGCTGATTATTGACTGTCTCGGGTTATGCCACTAGAGGCGAAGGAAAGAATTGTTGGTGTAAGTTGCCAGGGTGGACAGGGCAGTCGGGAACAAAGTTGCTGCATCTCGCGTAACACTAGGCAGGCTGCCACATCGGAACATGGATCCGGGTAAATATCAGCATCGCATATCTCCGCCTCATCATGAACCAGAGGCTGTAGACGCTCCCTGACGAACTTTGGCAACGATTGAGTCCGCTCCCATACCGCCATCCCACCCCTACAAAGAGCCAGCTAGAATTACTGGAATCCATGGTTTCTCGACGAATTCGGCACGATTCGGGTGAACTTTGCCGTAGATCGCTATCATTAAAATATTAAAATGCTAGTATGATGATTATTGCTGGGAGAGGACTATCCCCTCTCACTTTTCACACTATCAAAGACGCAAAAATCATGCGTGACGGCTACGGGAAAGTACTCCTGGCCACCATCTTGACGAAAACCCCTAAATCTATCCTTTGTCGTGACTCGAACCCGTTAGTGAGGAAATATTTCACTACCAAATTCGTTATAGATGCCATAGGACACTAGTCACGTGTTATATGGACAATAGACACCACTAACAAGTCTTCAGCTTTTATCCTTCAACCCCCCGTCGTATTCAGAGGAGAGAATTGGCGATATGAGTTATCTTTGAGGATTGGACAATTGAGGCACTCTGCTTTCCGTTTTTTAGTTTATATAATATGTATACAACTGTCTAACTATGATAAACGAATAGTACTTCGTGTACAAAAAATTGAATATTTTGACTTGAGAGACAATCATATTTATCGAATTTAAAGTTGTTGTCGACATTGTATGTGTATGTCTGTTATCACAGACATTGGAAATAATTCATGAGATTGCTTAATGAGAGGCTAGTATTGATTCCGATATAATATTGTAGAAGACTTGTCCCAACTATCAGAGGGCTACAACGTCTTTATCTATCTACAGGTAAATTTCCCATATTCCAACCACGCTAGCCATACGGGACGTAGCGTATAAAACTTGATTCGTATCATCACTTTGGAGTTGAGGTTTACCGTGCATATGCTACTCGAGTCGCATATCTGACTACTATGCGACACGCTTAGGTATCAATCTAACAACCCACACCAAAACCGAAACTACTCACAACCCTGATGATGACCCCATGAATAATTGTAACAGTAGCCTGCAACATAGCACAATTAGGCTAGACATCATTGACCAGGACCTAATCCGAACACATATTCTAGTATTCATTTGCAAATGCCACTATGAGATTGTTTAATTACAAAGAATAGCTGAGCCTACTTCATGAGTACCCATCAAAGGGAGTTCTCAATACTCTAAGCTGTTCAAACATGTCTTTGTACTCGTAAAAACCAGCATAGCGAGAAATATGATGTAGTATTGCTGTACCCGAACTAATAATTTCCTGTCCCAAGTGGCGAAGATGTCCAAGCTATCTAGAATCTACTTGGTAGAACGGACTAGATGATGTACCACTGGCTATCTAACCGCCTCTTTGCCTGAGTGCTAATTTTTTATATTGTTGTCCTTTCTCGGTCTAAGTCTATGTAGAACATAAATCACCTCCTATGCTACCCATACAGCTACCCTCAAACACTACCACCCCTCTCAAGTCCTCATTCGATCATTAACTTTAAGGAGCCCCTTGCCCTTTATCATCTTTCCTTTCCTGCAAATGAAACGATGGCAATCTGCGGGTGTATGGTAGCTGAGGAAAATCGCAAAAACCACTGGGTGCTGTTCTAGTACCGACATTAGGGCTAGATCCAAAGACAGAGAGACCCTTCGGAAGGGTTCGAAGAGGCCGGCCAGTTATGTGCTGCAGGCTTATATGTGTCTAAGGAAATTCACACGCTGCCTTTCTAGCCTCCTTTCAACCCTTTCCAGAAGTTCGTGCTAAAAAGTCAGAAAAGTCTGGACGGAGCACAATTGCTGTATGGTAGAATTTCCTAGCTTGTTTGTGCTATCCGGGGTATTTGGGGGTACCATAGACTCATCAAGAATGGGAATTCTCTTAGCTAGCTATCCGAAGTCGTAGACTCGACGGCCACAAATATCGCAGAGTCAAAATACCCAGCTGCTTCTCTCTCAAGACGTAGAACTTTGTTAGAGCAAAGGTCCCTATAAGCCAAGAGCTGGGCTTTTTATAATTAGACATGATAATCTCCTTGCAGGTATACGTAGCGTCGTAATTTTATTGTGGGGGGTAGCAGATGATTGATGAGGCAAGCTCATGTTTGCAAATGATGCACTTTTATGATCGATTTTTGAGGGGAGTAGCACGTGTTACGTGGTAAGTTTGGATTGAAGGACTCATGAGAGTGGTAGAACTAACAATAATGAGAAGTTGACGACAAATATGATATTGTTTGCTTTGGACTTCGATTCAATGCCATTTTTATTGGCTATCCCGGATATCATAGCATGATGAGCGTTTAAATCGGCTTCGCTTATTTAATTCATCTGTAGCACTTGAAGGTAAGAAATTTAGTTGTATATGATAGAAGCTTAGATTTAAATCGATGTTTAACATTTCATAACCCTATTCATGTTCCACTCTCTACTGCACGTAAAAAATAGAGCTTAATAGTATAGATAGACGGAAAATGCTACTTTCAAAATAAGCCCTCATCGAGTGTCCTACTAGGGTGACCAATTAATGACCAAGTTCCCCGCGTCAACTATAATCTTTAGGTGTAAGACCCAAGGAATTCAACTTAAAAAGCTATATGAACTCATAGCTTCTTCAAAAGTAAAACCTTCCATTCATAGTAGGGACTCTAAGCCGTAGTCATCTTGGTCTTCTTTCTAGAGCACATTATCTATATTCATTGTAAATCCGTGGAAAAGCACTTGCTTCAATAGACATGATCGATGCTTTTGATCTAAAAGACCCTATTTAGCAGGTAGGACAGTTTTTTCTTCGCTCATGGTCTTGATATAGCCAATCATAACACTCGATTATCGTCTCAATAGCTACTGCCTTCGAGAATCTTCATCGCTATTACCATTTCATAAGAGATCTAACAGTTGGATAGAATATTTCACACTTTCTGCATCTCATAACAGTTGCTTTTCTTTCTTTATCTCTCGATGTGCCTCCTTCATTAGAGAGCCACCCATCCTGGTTTAGCTTTGTTACCTACTGAAGGCAAATAACTATTGGAATTTCCTCAGGATTAATGAAAAATGACGGAACACGAAAAATCAACACTCGTAAGCCGTGTTCCCTACGAGCCTCCAGCTCCCGCTGTAAAGTATGCAGAGCCAGTATTGAGTAACTCCTTCGTCCTCACTTCCATCATGATTTCCAAACAGTCTCACGGCCTGCATCTGTTAAAGATACAATCTGTTGATGACTCTGAACTTGATGATGGCCAGCAAGACGAAAAATAACATGACCTGTCATTGAAAACAAAAAGGCGATCAGACATTAGCTGGGAGATGAGACCAACAAAAATAGGGGTGATAGGCTCAGAGAAAGTATCGGCATGGTGAATTTTATCGGAACCATCATCTTTTTTTGAATACTTGACGTCGTGCCAGCACACAGTACTAGACTACAGGGCCAAGTGCCGATTAGCTTAATCTGTAAATACTACCCGATGTTCCAGCGTCCCAAAAGAGCCTAGCGACTTTAAAGTAAGGCCCTGCCACTTCTCAGCACTTAAGAAAGTTGTAAGAATTTCAAAAGGTTGACTGCCTCTGCCAATCTTCTAGGTGATACCTTTGTCATCCTGAGTCCTTCATTTTAACCACTTTTAAAGCTTCCACGGCTCAGCATATCTCCCATTTTCATTCGCAGGCTTCGATTTCGTCCCTAAACAATTAATACTCAGTAACCCAAGTTTGGCGTCTTCCGATAATTTCCCATAAATAACAGCGTTGAAAGAAGGGGCCGCGGATCGTGTTGTGGCTTTTTAAGCATTAACTAGAGACTACAAATTTTTTTTGAAGTATCGAGGATTACGATAATCAGCTTAAGCTGGTATCGGCTTGAATGGTCGTGAAAAATTTTCTTCGTGATTTGTGTAGTCTTGAAATCTCAGCAATCCAGGAGTTCCGGCCAAAATCAGCCCAGCACTGCTCCTGGTAAGACTCTCATTCAGGAAAAAATCGATTTGAAAGTTTGGAGATGACGGAATCTTAGCTATGGGTGAATATTGCACTTCCAAGCTTGCAGAGGACACCACTGATAGTTGTCGAGAATAGTCTCCCGTGTAAAATGAGGAAGTATAGCAGGGTTATCTTTTTCAACTATGGAACAATGAACTCATATATATATTTATGGAGAGG